GAAAATGTCCCTGTGCAGCATTTGCTCTCTAGAAATAATCAATTAAGTGGTCAAAGCTTATTTTCTTTCATGAAAAAGACAGGAGATAATATAACATTTAGCAACATTAAAAGGGGAAGTGCATTCTAAAGAGCACCTTGATTCCTTTTAATTTGCAGTAAATAATGCAAGGCTGCAATAGCACAGTTCAGACAGCCAAGATTTGAAAATGTGTCAGAACTACACATCAGCTAAGACTACGGTACTGAGCTTGTTCCTTATTTCCTGATGAGCATCTGATTTAAAACAGTTATACATCATCTTAGCTGTAGTCAGCTAAGAGAGGAAAAAAACCCCAACCAAACATTGAAACTGCATCTCAGTTCTTTATGTTTGATTTATAGAACAAGGTATTTTCTTTTTGCTTTTGATTTTGTGATATCAGTATAAATTAACAATTCAACAGCCCCAATACAAGAGAAAGCATTCACTTTCGTTTAGACCATACCACCTTGCTTTTAACTGCTGGACAGATGCAAAAGATGCCAGAGGACTCCTCTTGCCTTTACTCGATGCTCATCTGAAGCAGAGTTCCTGCCTTTACTCAATGCTCATCTGAAGCACCAGAAGCACTGCTGTTGAATCCAATGCTTTCTGATTACAGGCCCTCAGTAGTACACGGTGAGATTGTGGGCAATAAACTTTGATTGGTTTTAGCCTCATTTTATCCATCAGTTTTACAGGTGTAAGCAGACAGTGACTTGGCTTAGACTCAAGATGGTGAAACATCTCTCATTGGTCTGAATAGTTTTGGATGAGGCCTTAAGTGAAAGAAGCCCAAGTGAAAGAAGCATTCAGGAGATGCAGATTTCCCCCCCCCCCCAGCCATGAATTATGCATGAGTACATTGTGATTGTCTTGATTCTATCCTCTGTTTTGAGATTTTTCATCTAATTCCTGCAGATTTTTTTTTTTTGTCTGTAGGCTGTTTGCAAGCAGTTCTAAGAGTCTCTACTCAAGCAGCTGCTAACCTCCAGGTGGGTCTGAAAATGCCCTGGCTTCCCCCTGAAATCAGAATAGAAGGTGGCAACACAAGACCATGATAGTTGCATCTCTTCCCTCCCATCTTTAATTCTCTCTTCTTTACATGATTCATGTTAGCTTCCTTGTGTGTACTTCTTGAACTGAATGAGAATTGATCTGGTTAGAAACAAACACTGGCTGTGGGGATTTCACTCAAGATTCTGCCACAGTTTTGAGAGAGCCAGGAAAAAGGGGAGAAAAATTAGGTTAATTAAGGTGGGTTGGCCAACATTAAATCTGCTTTTCCTTGAGTACTAAGGCCCTGACCTTGAACACATAATCTTTGTTGTATTCAGGTGCGCTTATAGAGAATTCTCCTTCTCCTAAAAGAAACAGAAATACATATCTTACAGAAGTATAAAATACCTTACTGTAAATTCATAAGCTTATGATAAAAAGACCATAAAGCCATAGCTGGGAACCTAAACTATATGCCCTGCATCTCCAAATGGTAGCACTTTGGATACTGAATTACAAGGGGAAAGTTGTTACCTTGCAAGGCCTGGGTGTGGAAGATAGAGGAAAACAGAATGAAATGCAAGAAATGGGGAGAAGACTGCCTGGGTTTGCTGCGAGTTTGCTTACTCCCCCCCCGAAGGACATAGAGTGTGACTGAGAGGAGGGAAATGCCTTGAACAGAATTTCAAATGGAAAAGCACAGGAAAGTCTCTACCTGTCAGAAGGCTGGAGTGATTTGTTTGCAGCAAGTTTCAGTGAGCTGCTGCAAATTAAAGCGGGATTAGGACCTCTTAGATGTTGCAAGAACACACTGCAGTGAAAATTTGTCTTCAGATGAAACAACTGAAGATGTTACTACCTTCTCTTTCATGTATGCTTCTTGGTATACCCTTATTTATGGATTCACTCTACTCTGACTGAATTAAATAGCTAAACAAATATAAAATCAGATCATGTAGTTATTAGACCTTTCCATTAAATCCTGGGGCTTGATTCATTTGCATTTTATTTTGTGTTTATAATGCACGCTTATTTTAATTACTACTGCTGCACTTTATTTGTAATTGTCTGTGCAATGCCCAAGCACCTTGCTAAGTGGATAAGGGAAGCACTTTATTCCATAACAACATAATTAGTCCATTATTATTCATTATTACTTTTTTTCTGGAATGGACCGAAAAGAATCACGACTTAGAAAAATACAATACCAACAAAAATAATCTTCACCATTGTTTCCCTCTAGATATCATCTCTCCTGAAGAGAGAAGCAGCAGCATTCAGTGACCTGAAAATCAGGTTAAATGCTAAAGTTGCTTGCAATCAAGGATCTGTCCCTGGTCCAGGCCTCCTGCATGGCCTTGGGCAAGTCATTCAACCACTCTATGTCCTTATTTCCCTTTCCAACAGCTTCAATCCTACCATTCACTTTCTATGGAACAGTAACGCTTACTACACTAATGTGCAGAGCTTTGCAAGTGATGTATGTTAGGTATTGTGGCGGCATGATCAAAGGTACACAGTGATGGCTGGGTAAAAGAGGAGGCATTTCAGAGCTATGCAGGATTCTTGCTTACCAAGAGAAAGAACACATTCAGTTTCTTCTGATAACCTTGCAATTCCTCCTGAATGAATACCCCATCTTCACTGAATTTTCTTATTACAGAGAATTATGCAACTCTTATCTCTTGAAGTTTTGTAAAAATATCCCCACACAGTCTTTCATGTCTGGCACAAAAGCATTCTGCTGCATTTTCCTTTGGCATATGCCCTCTGTAGAAACCTTAAAGGTTAAGTATGGTCTTACCATTTTCGACCACCAGTTACTACACCCATAGAGAAAACAGGTTTCTTTCTGATTCTCCTAACATGCTTGTTTTTAGCTTACCAATCCATGCCTGTAGGCATCTGTGTAATTTATGACAAAGATTTATTAGTAGAAACTAGGCTAATGAGGCTGGACAAGCAAATTAAAGGTGCACAAACAGTGAATGAATACATCGGGACCACTTCGCACAGTAAAAGTCACATCTTCCGATAGGCATTCAAGCACCATGACAGGAGACTTCCAAGCTGTTTTGCCCCACCCTCAGTCATCCAAACCAGGATGATTTCTCTTTTTAGTTAGTAACAACCCCGCTGTATACCTGGATAGGACAGTACGATGTCTATGACCCTTATTTCTTCATTGCTTTTATCAAGCTGAGCTGCAAAGGGACATGATGTCCAGTGCAAAGACAGAACTCTGTGCAGAGCTTGCCTTAAGAGTTACAACAGCCTCCACTGTTCTGCAAGATAAACAGTCTTTGCTTGAAGTCTCTCCTAACAAGGACAAGGTAGCTCTGTGTCTGTGTACGTGCATTTGTGAGCATACCGACAGCCATCCCTGGTTGTTTCCCATCATGTACTGATGCCAAAAGCACATTACTTCCATTGGTGTCTCTGGACTCTGTTCCTATGAGGCAAGACTGAAGTGATGCTGTTCGGTAGTGTCTCTGAAAGGAGACAGCACACCAGCACGATTTCCCAAACGATCACTTTCACACTTCCTCAAATATAGCTCAGGTGTTTTCACTTCCCCTGTCTTTTTTTTTTTTGCATTCCCCTATAACCACCTCTCACCTTGCAAAATAATACCAGTTCCTCCTCAGTCATTTCCCTGTCACGCAATGTTAATGACACACTAGGCAATGAGATGGAGGAAGGTCTCCACTAAAACTTTCCAATAAAATCAGAAGTGTGTGGGATATAAATGCTTTTAGTTGTTAGGAATTCACTCCAGGGTCTTTCCCCCCACCCCAGCACACAGGGGACATATGGCAATGTTTCACAATCCTCCAAAGCCATCTCTAGGAACTTGTGAGAGAACTGTGAACAGCAGTTCTTTTTTAGGAGGAGTCTGTGAAGAACTTCTAATCCTGGTGATCCTGTTTGCATCAGTTTACATTCCCAGGGCTATCTGTGAACAGAAGAGCCTGGAAATACACCTTTCTGATCCTCTGAAATGGAGATTCTCCTTTACATTACTTGGTTCCTCACTTTAGGAAATCCTTGCTATGGTGCATGTTCTGCTTATCTGAAAAGGCAAAATAAGGGTAGTTCTACACTCAAAATCACTTACTTAAAACTTTTTTGTTTGCTTTTTGTTCTGTGACCTTGCACCTTTTGTACACTCAGTCAAATCCACGGAAATGCTTGCCTAAAACTAGGTCTGACTGCTTGTCACATATCCTGGATCTTCAGCACCCACAGTGATAGGAGAGGATACCTTTGTGGAAATCAGCAGAATTGTTTGTGGATCTACACAGGAGTTCCTGAAAGTTATTACCTTTAGCCAGGTTACTTATTGATAAATGCAATAGGAAACACACAGTTTCTCAGACCCAAGGCTCTTCAGGCTATGGATGAAGAAGAGTAAGGGAAGATGTTAAGAGATGAAGCAAAACTGTACAGAGTCTAACAGCAAAGGCCCTGCCTGTCACTTGTCTGGTGTTATTACATCCACAGCTTCACAACCCGCAGCAAACCTCACACCAAGTCCTAGCTTTCTTCCCAAGAGCCTAAAGGACAACAGAGACTCAAAAGAACAACAGACTTCTAACATCCATTTTCCGTGGTAATTCCTCCTTCCCTTGGGTTCAGATTGGCCTTTTGCATGCTAACAAGGGAAGTGATAGAAACAGAACCGTTACCAACAGTGCAGTCAAACCCAGCCACAGTTATTCAACTCACTTTGCGAAAAGAAAATAAAAAGTCATCACCAGGTCACCCTGGAAAAGATCCGCAAAACCTAGTCCAGGGAGAAGAGAGAACAGAGGCTGCGAAGGGCCCGCAGAGGGGCACTACCCACCCGCTCCCTTCCGAGGGGTCCGCTCACACCGTTGAGACCGGCGGTAGCACTCAGACACGGCCGGAGCGGCGCCCGTCCCCTCGGTGAGGGGCGGAAGGGATGAGGCAGCGCTGCACCGCCACTCGAGTTTTACCTCAGAAACAAGGGCCCCAGCACTGGGATCGGGATCGGGATCGGGACGGGGACCCGGACAAGGACCCTTTCGCTCCCTGCCCATGCTCCTCCCGCGCCTGCGCGGCCCGGCCGTGGAGCGGCGGAGCCTTTGCGGAGGGTCCCGCCCCTCTCCGCCTCCCACGGACTCGGCCGTGCGTGGCGCGCGGGGGCAGTCGATCCGATCCGAGCCGATCCGAGCCGATCGGAGCCGAGCCGAGCCGAGCCGATCCGATCCGAGCCGCCTCCTCCCCTCGGCTCCCCGCGAGCGGGAACGCGCGCGCGCGCCCCTGGCCATTGGTGGCGCGGCCGCGCGCGTGGGGCGGCTCGCCTGGTGTCGGCGCCTCCCCGCATCCCGCGCCGCTGTCGGCGGAGCCCGGCGGCCGGGCAGCGGGGCCCGGTCCCGGCAGCTGGGGCATGGAGAGCCTGCTGGAAAACCCGGTGCGCGCCGTGCTCTACCTGAAGGAGCTCACCGCCATCGTGCAGAACCAGCAGAGCCTCATCCACACCCAGCGCCAGCGCATCGACGAGCTGGAGCGGCGGCTGGACGAGCTCAGCACCGAGAACCGCAACCTCCGCGGGCAGCAGCCGCACCACGCCGAGTCGCCGGCGGCCCCCGCCGAGCCGTCCCAGGGCTCCCCGGCAGAGCAGCCCCCGCCGCCGCCGGGCCAGCCTGACCCGCTCCAGCACCACCAACAGCTCCCGGCGCAGCAGCCGCCGCCGGCGGGCAAGCAGGCACCCGCGGGCCCCGGCGGCAGCGGGCGGGCTGCCGGGCACCAGCACCCTGCTGCCCAGCCCCACCAGCACCCCGCAGAGAAGGACGGCAGGGAGAAGGGCTGCTGCGCCGCTCTGCTCCAGCACAAGCCCCCCCAGGCCATCGGCAAAGGCGTCCTGAGCCGGAGACCGGAGTAAGTGAGGAGGGGGACGGGGGCGGGCAGGGCTGGCGGCGGGGAGCAGCGGTGGAACGGGCCCCGTCCGGGCCCGGGTCCGAGAGGGGACCGGGCTGTACCCCCCTGCAGCCTTGCGGAGCGAGAGGCGGTGTGTGGGTGGGTGGGGAATCCCGCCCTCCACCCCTCCTTCCATCCCTCCTTCCATGCGTTCTCGGGGAGGGAGAGCAGGCAGAGTGCAAAGAGGAGCCAGGATGCTGCTTCCCGGAGGCGTTCGCCCCGCGGTTCACCCCTTTCATTTCTATGTACAAGTGTCTATGGTTCATTTCAACCCAGCCGTGGTGCTCACAGGCAGCATCGTGCCCTCATTGTCTGTCATAAATAAACAAGTCTTGGATCAAAGGCGGCAGCAGCATTGTGACACCCTCTGTTTGCCCTAACTCGCAGCTATCTGTCAAAATACCCCATCCTCCCTGGAACAAGCTGGGGCTTTCCTGCTGTCACTGATGCGAGGGGTCTAGGGTATGCATTATATAGCACACAGTGTATATGTGTTCAGAGAGATACAGATGTTGTACGTATGTTTGACATTTAGGATGCTTATCACACTTGTGTGTGGGTTGTCCGGGTTCTTTCTTTCTTCCTTTTATTTTCTTTTGGTGAGTGGCACCTCACACTGATCCAGCTCTTCAAAAGGACAAAGTATTTTTTTCCTGGTCTCTCCTTTTCAGTGAAGAAAGCATGCCTACTAGTACTGAATGCTGATAATGGTCTGTGTGCATGCATGTATAGTAAACAACGATGAGCGTTCCAGCACTATAGGTAGTGTAAGAGCCTACTATTGAGGTGTAACATTTTCTGGGATCATGTACCCAGTATATGCCACCAGCTCACCAGCTGGTAATTACAACTGCAGTCAGCATTGTGATAATCCCCTTTGTTTAGGCACTTTGAAAGCAGGGGAATGTTTTCTGGTTGGACACCAGACTTTGTGAAGTTAGGAGGAGAAGGGGCTTAGTTTCTGATGTGGCTTCTTTTATGCAAGAAAGAAGCTAATATAAGTAGTAAAACTAGATTGGAATTCCTTCCCTGGAATGAACTCTGTTGTTTTGGTTATAGTAATGTCAAAACAAATGAAGCCCACAGCACACTGTATAGCCCAACACATCTTCCTTGTCTCTTTTGACAATTTAAATAGAAGGGACCCTTTTCTCTCACGTTTGCTTTGAATCCACAAGCATAGCTACAACATGGAGCTGGATTTTCAGCTGATGCAAGTACAGTTACACCACTTCATAGCAGCTAAGCTCTGTCACATGACTCTATGAAAATCAGTGGAGAAATTACTGTTGAAATAAATACTATTAAAGGAATATGTAATGTCAAGGCATGCTTGAATCCCCAAAGGCAGATCCATATTTCTAAAATACTGCACTGTATGACTCAGTTTCACAATCACAACTTGCAGGGACTGGGCTACTCAAAGTATTAATACAGGTAGTAAGGATTTGCAGGATCTGGCCCTTCTTCATCGTTCAATAGATGGAGTTTTAAAAATACGTTGGACCAGATTCTGAACTCATGGTGATTGCTGTACACCCAGAACACCAGAGTTTAAGTCACTGAAGCCAAAACAGTAAGAAACCCACTTAAAAACACATAATCAACCTCTTGTTTTTTTTTTTAGTAGTGAATCCCTGCAGTGAAGGCTCTGTTAGAAACATTGCATCAGCAAGGGCTTTCCTTTCTTCTGAACAGAGTTTCTAACAAACGTCATTACACAGACTGAAGGATCAATTTCTATGCATAAGTCTAAAACCCTCCTTCTTACCTGACCTTTTTCTTTTGCAGTGGGGTTTGACTGGGAAAGAACTGTAGTTTTTTTTCTTCATAGTGAAGTGCTCATTGCTGGTGCATCATGCAATCATCTTTATATTTTAAGTACATAGATAGATGGATGTGGATGGAACCTTTATGTGGAAAGTCAGGGCTGCTGCTGGGGATAACAGAGCAATCCCTGCAGCGTTCTTCACTCGGGAAGATTAAAATAGACTGCTTCTGTTTCCTTCTATAGCTTAGGCAAACCAAAAGCTTTGTATAGGAAAGGAATTATGACGGATGCAAAACAGTCTATGTTTCTCACTCCTGCAGGTCATTTACCCAACCCCTCTCCCCACTGACTGTATATACCGGGTTTCATCCTCTCTTATCTTTGACTGTTAGAAGGAAATGAAACCGACTGCAAAATCTAACTTAAAGGCAACTTGGACGGAGGGTGGGGAATTGTGACCACCTATTGACAGCATGCCCAATATCCCTTATGATCCAGCTTACCAACCTGAGAGTTGTATTTTTGCTTTTGTGCGACAGCAGGGGACATACACTTGAATACGTACACAGACTAGGTATCTGCACTCTCCTCCTTCCTCCCCACATCTGAGCATGCTTTTCCCTCTATTATAAACCCTGAAATTCAGTGTTATTTAATTTTCTTTTCTTTTAGCTAAGAGCATAGGAACTGACTGTTCACTACAGAAAATGGCCACTCTAAACAGAACAGAAAGGATATTTTAGCATGTCAGGATGCAGTGGCTGAAAGCAAGGGTTAAAGCAGCACCCAGGCAGTGCCCTGCTGTCAATGCCCAGTAATGGAATTTCCTCTGCCTCTCACAAAACAGGAGGTTCTGGCAGCATGTTTAAGGGTAGTTATGCTCATCCTTCTCACCTCAGACACAGCCCAGGGATTTTGCTCATTTTGAGCTACGACTGAGTTTTTTTTTGAGCCCAGCTAAACCTCAAGCCCTGAATAAGAGCCCTGAATTTTGGACATGTGTGACTCCATGTCAACCAGGACAGTCTTCTGTAAGGGGCTCGGAAAAAAAAACAGCTGAAGCACCTTTTTAATTTTAAATAAAAGTTCAGTGTTATATTTATTGTCTGCTTTTTTTTTTAAAAAGGTTGTTTTCTTTTTCTAAAGCCCATATATACATATATATATATATATAAGAAAGCCTTCATTTTAAAAGGGAACAAACCCAAGCCTATCTCTAGAAAGGGAACAACTCCGGAGTTATGCAGAGGCCCCCTAATTGTTGCTGCGTGGTGTTGTGTGAGGAAGGTAGCACTGAGCTTACCTATGAAAAGAGAGGCAAGGAGGAAGATTTTTGCAGAGATCCTCAGCAAGAATTTGGCTGATTATTATTCCATGGCATCTGTCTCTTTCTACCTTAGGAGTCTATTGCATAAGCACCTCAGAGCTTTAAAAACAAAAAAATAAGGTCATTCTTCATGGAGTGTTTTGCTTCAAAAATACAGGTTGCCGAATTAGCATAGCTTAGATCACCCTTACTAGGCAGACTCTTGTCTTAAGGGACCATCCCAAAGTGTCATCAAATCCCGTGAGTATAAATTTTCCTTCTCTTCTTTATCAGAATACTGCCTTCTTTACCCATCCCCAGTTCCCTTTGTTGAGTATCAGGGAAATGCCACGGGGTTTAGCAGATTAAGTCTAAATGGCTCAAATCCTGCAGGTTTTTATCAGTAGAATTCTCACTGTGAGCTCTGCCTATGGAAGGACTTCAGATTTTGAGCATGTGGAAAATTCACTTTGATAAATAGAATAATAGCTAATAATCCATTATAGTTCCTTCCATCAAAAGACACGTGCCATTTACAAACATTCTGCATTGAGGTGGCATTAAAGTCTTCTTTTGACTGTCTTGCCAACAGTGAAAACAAGGCATAGAAACAGTATTTGTTTAGCATGACATGAAGCATCTAAGTACTGCCTTTAAACTATTAGCCACTGTTTGCTCTACAAGGTAATCTCCTCATGCAAAATAAACTCTTAGAACTCTTGGAAGAAATGTTCTCAAATCACATTTTCCCAGAGGTCTTAAAGCTCATTTGGGTATGCATTGGGCTGAACACTATCTTCTTTTATTTTATCTTGGGTTAGTTTAGGGTGGTATTTTTTATCTGAATAAAGAGGCAAGTTTAAAAGACAATGTTGAAGTCACTTAGTTGCTGTTGTGGTCTGAGGCTGTTTGCTGTATTTTTGTTTAATTTCAAAAGCTCAATTATGTAACTTTAAAATGAAGATATTATGCAGAGGTGCTGTTTTCCATATTTTTTCTTTTTAACTATGCATTAATGTTCTATTCTATGGATTATCTCCAGGGTAAAAGCGTAGACAAAATCCCACTGATTTCAATGGGTACTAACAATAACTATAAATATGATGGCTTTCTATTAACATATTTTGCTATATTTGCGCATTGCACCAGCACAAAAAAAAAAACCCAAGCGGAAGATCAGAACAACTCTGAATGACTTGTGTACCCCAGATACCTGTTCCCTTCAATTTGGGTGCACAAGGAATGCTATGTTTGCCCACTCTTTTCATTCTTTCAGATTTCGCCCAGCCTATTTAAGGGTTTAACTCCCTTGAGCTTTCACACACCAGAAATAGTTGCATTGGTGCTGCCCTGGGTTCTGCAAATCCCTGCTAGCGATGTACTGTTTCAGTATATCAAGTTATTTGGAGTTGAGTGCTGTAAGCTGGTTTCAAATGGCACAGGTCTGCATTGGAATAGCTACACAGATGCTAAAGCCCTGCTCAAATGATTTTGAAGTCAAGGGCATAATGAGAGGAGAGAAGAAAGTAGAGTGTTTGTGACTACGTCCCATCTAAAGATATATCCATACCAGTTCCATTCACATTGTAGTCAGTCTACAACATACTTCATGGCATGAACACACCTGCATTGTATCTACGTCAGGACCTGTAAAGGTAGAGGAATATGGAATTAAGGATTCACAACAATGTTTAAGAAATAACAGATGAAGAGAAAGGTCTCAGCTTAGGAAGGATTCAGGTTGAAGCTCTAGGTATAAAATTGCTGAGTAAAGACAGCATGAGAAATTCCACCCACAGAGATAGCACCTCAATATAGAATCACAGAATCAACCAGGTTGGAAAAGACCTTTAAGATCCTCAAGTCCAGCCATTACCCCAGGAC